ATTGATATTTATTACTTAATAAATTAAAATCAATTTATAAACTAATATTTTCAAACATCTTAATTATTTATTTAAGAAAAAAATCATAAGTATCAATAAAATTAAATACAATTTTTATGACTTTAACAAATAAATTAATAACCATAACCACACCCAAAATAGTTCCTTACCAATAGTGGGAGCGACTTCCGCCCGTGGTCCACACGATTCCAACACTTTGCTCCCATTGTCTCGTTGTCACGTGTATCTAAGGACTACGAGTCATACTTTTTTTTGGAGGTAAGAGGATGGATACAATTTAACTTGGATAAATCTTACTCTAGTTTTAATAGAGTGACTTAGTTTATAATTAAAAAAGAAAATTTTGGAGTTTGAATAAAAAATTGTATTTAATTGTATTGAAGGATTATTGGCCCATTAGTTTGATCAGGTGTGTGTATAAATTATCGGCAGAGATGCTAGCTAATAAACTCAAGATTGTTATGTTAGAGATAATCAATGAAACTTAATCTACTTTCTTGGGGGAACAGCAACTAGTAGATGGTGTTTTAGTCTTGAATGAAGTTGTGGATGAGGTTAAGAGGAGGAAGCAATGGGATTTTGTTTTCAAAGCAAATTTTGGAAAGGCATATGACTGCGTAGATTGATCGTTCTTGGATTGGATGATGGATATGTTTGGTTTTGGATTGAAGTGGATAGGATAGATTAAGGAGTGCCTCTCAATAGCTAGGATTTCGGTTCTAGTAAATGGCATAAGGTAGGAAAAGGATTGTAGCAAGGTGACCCTTTATCTCCTTTTCACTTTTTGATGATTGGTGAAGGATTACATGAGTTAGTTAAAAAAGCAAAGATGGAGGGGATGATACATGGTGTAGAAATTGGCAAGAGAGGTTTGGCTATATCCCCACTTCAATTTTGCTTATGACACTGTGATTTTGGGCAAAGCTGATGGTGAGAATATTATTATGATTAAAACCATTTTAAGATGGTTCAAGATGATTTTTGGATTGAGGATTAATTTTATTAATTTTAGTAAAAGCAGTGCCTATGGATTTAATGTGTCAAAGAGTTGGTTAAAAAGGGTGGCTAATGCTCTGCTTTATGGTGTTGGGAAAACACCTTTTTTGTACTTGGGGATGCATGTTAAAGGTAAACCAAGAATAAGAAGTTATGGGATCCAATTATAAATAAATTTAATGTCAAGCTTGCCGTCTGGAAGTCTGCTATGTTGTCCTTTAGAGGGTGCATCACTTTGCTCAATTTGATACTCTCTACTTTATCCATTTTTTTATATATCTCTATTTTTAATGCAAAATTCTATGGTTTTTGAGTTGGTTAGCATTCAAAGGGGTTTTTTCTGGGGCAAGGTTGAGTTAAAGAGGAAATTTTCTTGGGTCAAATGGGATTTTGTTTGTTGTAGTAAGGTGGAGGGAGGTTTAGAGGTACTAGATTTGCGCAAGAGAAATTGGGCATTACTAGGGAAGTGGTGGTTTAGATTTGGTGATGGTGTGGAGAGTTTATGGAAATAGGTGGTGAGGGAAAAATATTATGGGGCTAAGGGGGAGGTGGATATCACTGTAGTAGAGAATTTGAGGGTGTCTAAAATTTGGAAGGATGTTATTAGTATAGGCAGGAAATCTGTGAGGCTACGAGATATGTTGGTGAAGGGGGTCAAGTGGGTGGTGGGAGGTGGATGTCAGGTGGCTTTTTGGAGAGAGAATTGGGTGGGTAATAAATATTTAAAGGATTTATGTCCTAGGTTATTTGAGTTAGCTGTAAATAAGGAGGATATGGTTCATGACATAGGGGTATGGGAGGGGGATAGGTGGCACTAGAATATGGAATGGAGAAGGGGGAGAATGGGCCAAGAAAAGGATGAGGAGAAGGCGTTATGGAAGGTGTGAGACAGTGTTCAATTAAAGGAAGGTATAGGGAACTATTAGAGATGGATATATGACATGAAAGGAAGATATGTGGTGAAGAAAGCTTATGAGTTTTTAGCTCCGATGGAGTGTTTTCTTGAGATTCAGTTTTGCAAGCTAATTTGGTGCAGGTTAATGCCTTCAAAAGTTGGTTTTTTTGGGTGGAGATTATGTCTTGATAGACTCCTAACAAAGTGGAATTTACAAAAAAAAAAAAAGGGGTGATTCTATAGAGGAAGGGGTTATGTTGTCGAATACAGTGAGGGGAGTGGCAGAATTTTTCATGCATAGTTTTGGTAGGATAGTAGGAAAGGAGAAGGGTTCTTGTATCTTTTTCATTGTTTCCTAGTATTTATGGTATTGGAGGAATGCCAGTGTGTTTAAGAATAATAGGTGTTTTAGGGAGCGATTGTTGGATATGGTACAAACTAAGTTATTTTTATGGATTAATTAAGTATAAGGTGGATGGTTGTGTTTTTTCTTTTTAAGAGTGGAAAGTAAACCTGGTTGAGTGTGCTGTAGCTGTGAAAAGGCACAAAAGACTTCTGAAATGTTCCATAAATAGCAATAGGGTTCTGCATGAAGGGCTAAAAGGAAGGTTGATTTTGTTTGGCAGGTTCCTAATTTTGCTAAATATATCGATGTTGACTTGGTTAGTTTTGCAGTTGTATAGGATATTCAACTTTATATATGGATTGGAGTACCACTTGTGCTCTTTATAACAAATTCTATTTATTTTGCTTATCTAAAAATATATATATATATAAAAAATAACAATATAAGAAAAAACAAAGCTCAAGTTTTGAAAGTTGAAATCCTAAATCTTGATATTGCCCTCATGTTGATTTCTCTTCTTGTCTCTCCTATGTTGGTGTTGGACTCCAATTCCAAGTGCCTTTCTAAATGTCTTTGTAATGCTTTGAATCTGATATTAGTAGAGAATTGTTAGTAAGTATGAGATATAAGTATGGAGAACAACTACGTGACAATTTGAATTTGAACTTTTGAAAGGTCGTGAATCTTGGCTCAAAAATTTGTTAACCTAGTGACAAATTTTGGCCTAAATCATTTTAGTCCATCAATGAGTTTACAAAACTCTAATGAAAACCCTCATAAGATGATTCAATAATTAAGAGTTTAAAACTTCAAGTTAAAGGTCTTAAATTTGAGTCTTAAGTCGGATGGGGAGGGATTTGGGAATAAGGGAGGACTATCCTCTCTTATATAATCCACAAATATACAAAAAGAAAAAAAAAATAAAGAAACCTCTAATAAAAATAGGATTGGATGCAGTCTAAAAAATTAGTCAATTACCCGAGTGGAAGACATTTGCACGATTTTTGTGGTTGTAGCTTTCAAAGCAAAAACTTCTGCAGCAGCCAAAATAGGAAATTAAAATTTTGGGGGGAAAATCAGTTAAAAGAGTCAAAATTAGCGGTGGAATTTTTCCCTGGCGTAACTTTCCATGGGTGGGCGACAGTAGTGGCAGCAAAACTGGAACGACAGATAATAAATTTCAATGATGCAGCCAATCAATTTACAGCAATTAGAGGTTAAATTTTTTTAATACAATATTTTATATATTATAAAGTAAATCCATATTAATTCAAAAGTGATTCGTAAATAAAAAATTAAATTAAATTTACACGTTATATTGTGCAGACCATATACTGTACATCATCATTTTCCATCTTTTTTATGTTCGGCGGAGTCTCCATAAAAAAGAAAACTGATGAAACAAATGGATTTAGACCCAGATTTCATTGGCAAAAAAAGCTTCTCTCAATCAAGTACAAATCTTGCACTTGCACTTGCAATGTGAAATTTTCACCGTTGATATAATATATTTTTAGATTAAAAAAATGGCAACATCGATCCTTAAACAATTATATGCAACCACAACATGAAACACAACCTCTTCAAGGTAAGATTAGAGGAAAATTTGTGGAAAGATAAGCTAACAAATATACATCTTTAATCGTGAATTAACCAAAGCTTTTAGCATGTGGAGCGCTTCCTCTTCAGAGTAGGATATATAAGGATAAGCTGAGAAATTACTTCTTTGGTCGTCAGTGTCTTTAGCAGGTCCTCTGCATTAAGTAGAGGTTTAAAGCCAACTGTCGTCCCTCTACTTTAATATTTTATTCGTTCTTGTCCCTCTACTAAGGTCATGTTCGTTGTCGTCCCTCTACTCTCCAAAGAGCCAAAACATCGTCCCTCTACTTGGCTTTTTTTGTTCGTTGTCGTCCCTCCCCTAACACTGTCCATGTTGCCGTCACTGCTGACCGTTAAGTCCTAAACGGTCAGCAATTAAACCCATTTGTTTTTTTTTTTTTCCACATATGCTGCCACTTGTGATGCCACCTGTGCAAGAAATAGGGACCACTTTGCCCAGTTGCTTTCAATTTTTTTTTTTGGTTGGTGGAATGCGGGATGCCAACAAAAAAACATATGAAAAAAGTAAGACAAGCGGGAAAATAAGAAGAAAAGGGGAAGAAGGTGGTATACTTTCAATTTTCCTGCTTGACTATTCATCACATGACCAGTCCATTGGGTAACATATATTGTTTAGCCTTGTTTTATCTTTATTACCCAAAACGTGAAAACCTCAAGATACAGAGTGTAAGAATACAGGAATCTCTGAAAGGGGAAGGCATTGTGTTTTGAGTAAAATTGTTGAGGCTTTTTAGGAGGTCATAATCAATTAGTAATCTATGATTAAAGATCGATTAAATATAATGTTATGGTGTTAATTATTTATTTGGTGTTGCCCTCCACTTTGCAGAATGAAATAGATATTATTATTTTTTTCTTTTGTTCTTTTCTAATATGTGGTCCCTAATTTTTGCAGGTGAAATGGTTGATTGTGTTGAATATGGTATATACTTGAATTATGGGGGCAAATTCATTAGGGACCCAACACTTCGGTATGTCGGAGGTAGTTTTCATAGTATATGGCTCAAACCTAGTAGTTTTTAACCCCGTATTTTTAGAGAGAAATTGCAATGCTTGCATATTAACATAGATGGCATGACAGATTTTGTGTGGTATAAAAATCCTACAAAGAAGCTTGATAATGTCCTTGTGTTAATTATTTCTGATGATTCAATTGTTGACATGTTTGAACTACTAATGTATCATGGGTATATAAATGTCTACGTTGAACATGAATCTGAAATTGAGAAACAAGTGACAAAAGGTGGGCCCTCTCATGGGAATAATGGTTCAGTAAATGATGTTTTAATGGTTGGTGAGACAGTGGCATATAATGTAAATTTGTATACATCTGGGGTTGATTTGGAATGGGAAGATGGTTTTGGTTGTGTTAGCCAGGAGATTCAAACACCAATTGTAGGACAAAATACTAGAAATTGTGCACAAGGAAGAACCGAAGAAGATGTGAATAGTGGTGATGAGTATATTGATGTTCCTTGGTTAACCGACAATGAGGATGAGTGGCAAGCAGCAAGGACTCAGTACAAGGATAGTGTTAAGTTATATGGAGATAATGCTAATATAGATAAGGCTTTATTTGATCCAACTGAAGCATTTGTTGATGATGGCCTCAATGACTCAATTGATTCTAATGATGAGGTTAGCTTTGTTACAACTAGTGACGATAGTGAGGCAGAGGAAGCAAGAAGAAGGCGATCATTGCACAAGGTGTTTGATGACTCCACTATCAATCCAGAGTTTGAAGTAGGAATGATTTTTGGTTAAATACCCTTTTTGATCCCTTTACTATAAGAAAAAGCCCCTTTTTAGTCCCTATACCGAAAAAATTCCCTTTTTAGTCCCTAAATTTCAAAATCCGGCCCCTTTTTGGTCCTTCCATTAGTTAAGTGACAGAGTGGCACTATAATCTGTTAAATATTTTGTCTTTTTTCTTTTTATTGTTGACGTGTTATTACACGTTAATGAATAGAATGCCAC